GGACGTACTGCTTCTTCCTGGACGTGAAAAAGGCATACGATACCGTATGGAGAAATGGGCTGTGGAAACAATTATCCAAGTACGGGATCAAGGGGAAAATGTGGAGAGTGCTGAAGAAGATGACAGAGTGTACGAAAAGCGCGGTCATGCTAGACGGAGAACTTTCTAAATTCTTCGACATTGAGCAAGGGGTCCCACAAGGTTGCACGCTGTCCCCAACATTGTTCCAGGTGTTCATCAACGATCTGTTGGAAGTCGTAGAGGCAGTCCGGAAGGGAGTAAAAGTAGGGGACACGGAAACTTCGGTGTCAGGAATGCTGTTTGCGGATGATTTTGTTGGTATGTCGGACACCCCTGAGGGACTGCAACTGCAAATTGACGCGGCGAAGAAGTTTACTGATAAGTGGAGATTGTCTGCCAACGTTACGAAGAGTGCCGTCATGGTATGCAACGAGGACAGGGAGGAACCAGTAGAACATAGATGGAAGTGGGGGATCGAGGAGATTGCAGTAGTGGACCCATACACATACCTCGGAGTAGAGATCGCAAAAGACTGCTCGTGGAATGCACATAGAAGTATGTCCACGGTAGCGGAAAAGGGCAAAGCACGAGCAGGGAAGCTGCACCCAATACTCGCAAACCGGCTCCTCGATACACGCATCAAATTGACGGTTTTGAAGAGCGTAATCGTACCGCCGCTAGAGTACGCCGGAGAAGTATGGGAAGGAAATAAGAAGGTAGTGAAAGAACTCGAGGCGGCGCAGATGAAAGCAGCGAAAAGCTTCCCAGGGTGCTCCAAGCGCACAAGTAATGCAGCCGTCAGGGCAGAATTGGGGATCCAATCCCTACGGTCGGGAAGAGACACAAGGAAGCTGACATGGCAGTATTGCATGTGCGGGATGGGAGAGGAGAGGTTGCCGAGAATAGTATGGAAGGCGAAGTGGGCATACAAAAAGAGGGGTAGACAGCCCACGGAATGGGTCGAGGTTGTAGAGGACGTATGGTTGTAGAGGACGTATGGAAGGGGTTCGACATCGACGAAGATGAAACGCTGGAAACGGAGGGTCTACAGGGGTTCAAGGAGAAGATATCTGTTGCTTGTGCCGAGAGAGAAAAACAGAATCTAAGGAAAGAAACCGAGGATAAGGAGGGTCTAGAAGTGTACGGAATGTTGAAAGAAGAAATAGGGTTCAAGGATTACCTACATGGACCAATGGATGCAGGGACAAATCTTAAGGTCAAATTCAGGACCGGGGACATAGGCCTTCGAGAACGACGACGAAGACATAGGACGGTAGACGACGAAGACGACAAGTTCAAATGTGATTGCGGCTTCGAATGCGAAGACCGTGTTCATGTAGTCGCGGAATGTCGGCTGTACAATAAGGAGAGGGAAGTGTACATGACTGAGCTGGGAAAAATAGAAGGGAGGTACAGGGAGATGTTTGAGGCATGGAATAGAGAGGAGAGGACGGTAGCTGTACTGGGGAGTAGGAAGTGGTTTGAAAAGGCGGGAAGGGATATCGTTAGGACAATTAGACTAGGGAAGACATTTTTGAGCCACCTTTGGCAAAGCAGGAAGGAACGATTGGCCATCGGTGATCGGTCCTGTGGGAACAATGCTCCTTCCTCTCGAGGCCTCGTGGTCAATGGTCTAACAGCTAAGACTTGCAAAGCATTAGAGTACGCCTCCCCCCACCCCCCCTCCCTCCCTCCCCCCCTCTCCCCGTCGCCGTTTCCTAGGATCGGAAGTTCTCCATCTGCTTCTCGGAGAATGGCGGTAACTTGGTCCTGGGGGGGTACGACCCTGAGCTTCTAGTCCCTGGGGCCTCCCACCAGTACACCACCGCCCACTTCGCCCGTGGGTTCTTCGCGGTTGAGGTAAGGGGTGCATGAGCACCTCGCGCTTGTGGGTGTTGCATCGAAAGCACTGTGTGTGTATGTGTGTGCGTCTTTGTTGTTAGCTTCACGGCTGACTAATGAAAAGAACGTCAGTCCCAGTGCGGCTGAAGATAAACAGAAATGCTGTTTTTTTAAGTCCATGGTCTGGGACCTACAGTACCCCATGAGGGCGTGCCGTGTGTGTGTGTGCGTGCGTGCTAATGTTTTTGGCGCGCCCTCGTGAGGGTGGTTGTTTGCCTGGGGTTCGTCGGTGTGTCGCCTGACCAATTTTGCCCAGACAGCGTTGCTTTCACCGGACCGGGTGACGGCCAGTGAGATGAAGGGGCGGCAGTCGCAAGCGTGTCGGGGCGTGTGACGCGGACGGTAGTCCTAAGGGGGGGTACCCGCCGACCGAAAGCATTGGTGTGGGTTCATCTGAGTGTGTGTGTGTGTGTAATTTGTGGCGATGTTTTTTTTTCTTGTTTCTTTTGCTTCGTAGTTGCCCCCGCGCGGAACCGGTTCAACCGACAACGATTTCTAGTCCGTGGGGACCCCGGAATGGAATCGTGTGTTTGTGGGGGGGGTTACCTGCGTCACGAGCTGGCCAATGGGAAATACTTCAGTTCTCAGCGACTGCTGTGCGATGTTTTTGGGTGTATAGTGTTCTTTCGTTCTCGTGCGGTTACAATCGAACATGGCGCATTTTTGCGGAACCCCACGGAGGAATAACTGTCTGTAGAAGTGAAACTTAACCCAGTCATAAATTAAGTCATACGCAGCTGTCATCCATACGCGAGGAAGTAAGCACAAGGTGCCGAACACCCTTAGGATGCAGCGCAGCCTTCATGCGACTCGCCGGTAACCTCACGGTGCTTCGCGCTTGGTGATGTGAGAGCCTGGTCCGGTGAGAACCCGGCGTGCTCCGTCCCGGTAGCATTGTAGGGATGCGA